GCGCCCGCGCGGCGCCGCGCGCGCCTCGCCGAAGAGGAAGCCAGCTGCCCCAAAACGCATGGCGGCGCAACTCACCACCCGAGGGGCTCCAATTCTGGCCCGCCGTGGGCTGCGAGGCAACGGAAAGCTCCGCGAAGGACAAACTGGAGGCGGCAAAGCGCAGGCCAGCCTCACTCACATGACGAAGCGCCGAACCCCGACCCAAGACACCGCCTACCTCTGCAAGTCGGGACCCTGGCACGCACTCGGCCGCACAGGCGGGTCACTTGGCGCGAGACTAAGCGGTGCCCAAAACCATCCCCACAGGTCCCCGTTTGGGCCAGGTGGCACGCATCCATGGGCCTCGCTGACCACGATGTGGCGCGAAGCGACCCGAGTGTTGAGACTGACCTTGGGGCGGACAAGGCCCCGGGCGTATAGCGAACAGCATCCACCACCACCCGTCAAGGGTGTGGGTTTACGCTGCCTCAAGTTGCACAGGACGCTGCGCGGGTGCTGCGCCAGCTCGCCAGCCTCTGCCCTGGGTACACTTTGAAAGGAAGAGGAGGAGGAGGAGGAGGAGGAGGAGGAGGAGGGGGAGGAGGAGTTGTGGAGCCATGGAGAACAGAGAAGCGAACCCGCGCGAAAGGACTGCTTCACACGAGGAATACTGTCTCATCGCAAAACGGGCCGCGATCCGCCCCCACACGGGGAGACCTCCCTCATCGCGTGCAGGGGGGCCGCCCGCTCAACGGCGAAGAGCTGACGCAACGCGGTCGAAGTATAGGTCAGCGCCTTGCCGCCCCGCGACTCGTTCCTCAAACGTGATGGCGGTGGTGCGTAGACGGACGGTCGGTTCACCTCCTCACTGTGAGGTCCGTCCCGACTATCAACCGCTGCCAAAACATCTGACACGTGCAACTGGATTGGTACCCTAGGGCGAGCAGGCACGAAGGACCCATTGGACTTATGGACCACACGGCCCCGCCGCTCCACCAATTGCAGGAGGAAGATGAGGAGGGGGAGTGGGCAGGACAAGCTAGGTGCGCTCGCGTCATATCTGACGTCTTACCCTTCCCTCCCATCCCTTTACCATGGCGTGGATCTCCTCTCTGCTCGCACAGTCGGATGTCGAGTAGGGCAATGATCCCGAGAGGGTGCGCGATGCATCGTAGAGCACGGCGTAGCAGGGCGTAGAAGAGCATGGCAGAGCGTAGTATGTCTTAGCATGGCGTGGCGTTGCGTAGTGTCTAATTACATCATAAAGCATTGCGACGCAAATAATGACATCGCACAACGGCACAGAACACACCATGGCATAGCATGGCGTTGAAGATCAAAGCGTAGCATGGCATGATTAGCATGGCGTGGCACTGCATAGTCAAGCACTGTATATCCTAGCATTGCAGTTGAAGGCATGGCATCGTACAGCGGAACAACACATAGCATTGCATTGCATGCCGTGGCATGGCACTGGAAATAATGACGCCAGCGCTGCAACGGGAGCACGATTCGGAACGAGCGGAAGTGCAGAAATGAGGCCAACGCTGCAGCGGGAGCACGATTCGGAACGTGCGGAAGCCCGAAAATGAGACCAACGCTTCAGAGGGAACAACATGTTGACAACAAACCCAACGAAAACTCAACTCCCCGGAATCCTCTGTAAAAAAACATACGCGGAAGGGGGGCCGAACATTTTCCGGACGTCATCAGGGGAGAGAGGAGAGTACTATTCATAGTGTAACTGTGGAGAAAGAAGAGGGGGAGGAGGAGAAGGAGGAGGAGGAGGAGGAGGAGGAGAAGCGAGGAGGAGGAGGAGGAGGGGAGGAGGAGGAGGAGGGGAGTAGGAGGAGGAGGAGGAGGAGGAGGAGGAGGAGGAGGAGGAGGAGGAGGAGAGGGGAGCGAGGAGGAGGAGCGAGGAGAAGCGAGGAGGAGAGAGTGAGGAGGAGGAGGAGGAGGAGGAGGAGGGAGGAGGAGGGGGAGGAGGAGGAGGAGGAGGAGGAGGAGGAGGAGGAGGCGAGGAGGAGGAGGAGGAGGAGGGAGGAGGAGCGAGGAGGAGGAGGAGGAGGAGGAGGAGGAGGAGGAGGAGGAGGAGGAGGAGGAGGAGGAGGAGGAGGAGGAGGAGGAGTCGAGGAAGAGGAGGAGGAAGAGGAGGAGGAGGAGCGAGGAGCGGGAGCGAGGCGGCTGGAGGTCGTCGCAGAAGGCGGGCTGGCTCGAGGCCGGCCAGGCCGTCCCTGCGCAAGGGGCAGTGCCCGCGGCGAGCAGCCCTTCACGTCCACGCCGGCTTGGCAAAACTAAGAACTAGGGCGCCCAAGTTCTCGCACCGCCCCCCCGCGCCCCTCGATGCGCGGCTACCTCCGCGCCCTCGCGGGACCACCTTAGAGAGGGGCAGCTAGGAGGAGGAGGGGGAGGAGGGGGAGGAAGGGAGGAGGAGGAGGAGGAGGAGGAGGAGGAGGAGGAGGAGGAGGAGGAGGAGGAGGAGGAGGAGGAGGAGGAGGAGGAGGAGGAGGAGGGGGGGGAGGGGGGGTCACCGTCCCGAGGCCGCGACGCGCCAAGCGCGCCCATCTCCGTGCCCTGCGGGCGACCAGCACAAGAGCACGGCGGCGGCACGGCCGCCCCACCTCGAGCAATTATCCCCAGGGAACCCGCGGGGCGGCTGGAGCGGAAGCGACCGCGCGCTGGGTGGGCCCCAAGAGGCGCCCAGGAGGCCCCAAGAGGCGCCCAAGAGGCCTCCAAGATGCTCCTAAGAGACCCCCACGAGGCCCCTAGATGCTCCCCGAGACACCCCAAGACGCTCCAAAAGGCCCCCAGGACCGCCAAGAGGCCCCAGACGGAGCGGTCTCCGAAAAGCGTTCAAGAGACATGCGAGGAGGCCTCGGGTTTAGGGTCCCGAAGCGGTGCGGTGACGAATCGCGCGGTGAGTGCCTTCCCCAGGAAAGCTCGCCGCACGGTCCGTCGCCCCACGGAGTTGGGACCCTGGAGGCCCCAGTCGCCCGAGACGTCCTCGGAGAGCGAGCCGAGTCCCAAAACCCGAGCGGTCACCCTCCTCCTCCTCTCCTCCTCCTCCTCCTCCCTCCTCCCCTCCCTCCTCCTCCTCCTCCTCCTCCTCCTCCTCCTCCTCCCTCCTCCTCCTCCCTCCTCCTCCTCCTCCTCCCCTCCTCCTCCTCCTCCTCCTCCTCCTCCTCCTCCTCCTCCTCCTCCCTCCTCCTCCTCCTCCTCCTCCTCCTCCTCCTCCTCCTCCTCCTCCTCCTCCCAACACCACATGGTGTGGTCACTACGCACGGGGGCGGGGGCGACTGGAGCGAGGGCCGCGGTCGTGACTTCTCTCGCCGACGCGCACCAGCGGCGGGCCGACAGGCTCAGCGGGGGAAACATCGAGCCGGAATCGGCGATGGGCCCCCGATGGCGAATCCGCAAGGTCCTGGGCGGGGTGCTCCATAGGGCCCCTTCTCGGCGATGAATGGGCGATTAGGCGTCGATGCATTCCCCCCTGAGCCCCCCTGACGGTGCCCCTGACCTAGAAAGACAAGGAACGGCATAAACATAAGCTGTTGGAACTCATCGCGGATTTCTTGGACTTCCCCCTCCCTAGTGCGCGAAGCGCCCCAAGGGCGGCGCCGGTAGTGCCGCCGGTGGGACCAGCGCGGATCCAAGAAATCCGGGCGGAGCGCCAAAAAGTCCATGTGTAGGCTGTTGTTTCTTCTTCGACGATCCCCTCTAACGGTGCCCCGGACTGGGCTTCCCCCCCGGCGCTTCCCCTCTGGGATGAGCTTGCCGATCTCCCCCCACTCAAGGCGCGGGGGCGGCGGCTCACGGCCGCACCGCGACGCCACCCAGGCCACGGGGGTCGTGATCGCGTTGGTGAGCGCGGTGAGCGCGAACGGGTAGGGGAAGGGCCCCAGCCTGTGCCTGATGCCTCGGGTTCACAGCCAACCCGTATCATAAGGGCGCACGATAAGGACGCAGGGGCCCTGGGACGCCATGTCGACACTCTGCGAGCGGGGCGCGGCCAGCGAAAGCGACCAAGGATTGGCCGAAGGGGAACAATGCCAGTGGAATCTTGGAAAGTCGCCCATCCTTGCTATGCAGGTTGACTGCAGCGTCCCGAAACTAGACGAGCGCGTTCCGCTACTCGCTAATGGCCTCGATCCGCTGCGGGGGATCTTCGATCCAGTACGCCGGGGCAAGCATGTGTTTGTCGGGCATTTGCGAGGAGGCACCCTGCGCGTGGTGGAACGCGCTCGGCGAGAAACAGTGCGGCGAGAAAGCGGTGGCCTCGAAATCCCCGAAGACCTCACCGCACGGCCCGTCGCCCCCCGGCTTGGGGGACCTGCAACTCTTCGCGAAACTTAACGCGAGTTTTCCCACCTCCCCCGCGCCCCCGGACGCGGCGCGCGCGGCGCGGCCCGCGGACGCCGACGGAAAAAATCAAGTCGCGCGTTTCGGCATCAACAATGAACTTTGGGGGTCTGGGGGTGCCGACGCGGCGCGGGAAAAACTTGCATTAAGTTTCGCGGAGGAACCTACTACACTCGTCAACATTAACCTCAAAAATGGCGAACATGCCCCTGCGATATCGGCGCGCCCTTCAATGTCGACAGACGCCCCTCCAATGTCGGGGTTAGGGCAAAGGTGTGTGGATGATGACCGACATTGGAGGGGCGGCGCATACAAGTATCTCGCAGTCAGCGCTACTCTGTCTGGTATCTTCCACAAACAATTCAGCCACGTAAGACATGTTCGAGGTAAATTTTGACGAGGGTTGTAGGATGCGCCGGTCGCCCGAGAGACACCCTCCTCCTCCTCCTCTTCCTGCTCCTCCTCCTCCTCCTCCTGCTCATCCTCCTCCTCCTCCTCCTCCTCCTCCTGCTCCTCCTCCTCCTCCTCCTCCTCCTCCTCCTCCTCCTCCGCCTCCCCCTCCCCCTCCTCCTCCTCCCCCTCCTTCTCCTCCTCTTCCTCCTCCTCCTCCTCCTTCTCCTCCTCCTCCTCCTCCTCCTCCTTGTGCTCCTCCGCCTCATCGATCGGTAAGTCGATCCGCGAATCGTCAGGGACGATGCAGGGGACGGCCCCCCGATCTCACAGTGGGAGCTAACAGCCACCCTGTTCGAGAAGAATCGACTTCTTACAAGACCCCTCCAGGCCGTGCCCTGAAAGCGTGTGCTCAGTCCCTGCCCTGGCCTGGGGAAGGGGCGGGCTAGGCGCTGGGATATGGTGCACGGTTGAGCCCATTTGATTGCCGCGGGAGCCCACGGTCTGTTTGATGGTGACGGTGACAGCCACGGCTGTGCTCCACCACACGGCGACCATGAGGACCACCACTGCGGTCCACTGACACCACGTCTCCCTCTCGGCCGGCGTCGCGGCGGCTGCGCCGCTGCCGCTGCTGCTGGCGGCCATGGCGCGCGCCGCATGAGGCCGCCGACGCGGCGAGGGCTCGGCACAGGCTGGCGCGAAAGCGGGGAGGCGAGGCCGACCGAGCTGACCCACGGGGGAGAGGAGGAGGAGGAGGAGGAGGAGGAGGAGGAGGAGGAGGAGGAGGAGGAGGAGGAGGAGGAGGAGGAGGAGGAGGAGGAGGAGGAGGAGGAGGAGGAGGAGGAGGAGGAGGAGGAGGAGGAGGGAGGAGGAGGAGGAGGAGGAGGAAGGGGAGGGAGGCTCGCCACGTGTGGGAGGGTGGCGGAGCGGGAGACAGACGAGGCGGTCGATCGCGCCGAAGCGACGAGGGCAGTCGAGGGCCTGGCGGAGGCGGGATCGAGCCAACTCCACCAAAAGCAAGCGCTCCCGAAGGCGGGACCCACCCGGGGCCGGCCGAGACCTGTCATCACCCCGGCGACTCCAACGTAGGACCCCTGGGGGCCCGTCCAGAAGGGAGAACTTTTTGGGGCGCGCCTAGAAACCCGGGGGGTCGGGCTTCCGCGGAAGAAAGAGAAAATCCCTGACGAGGGGTTCGAGCACGGGGGCTACCCCCCCTGACCTGTCCAAGGCCGAATCGAGAAAGACGCGCGGCGGGCGACTGCCCCATGGGGGTTGTTCTCGGCCTCCCTGCTGCCAGCTCGCAGGTGGCGGCACGCGCGGGGGGGGTGACGCGACACAGATCAAGGTATACGTGCTGTGTGGGTGTATCTGAGGCTTGGTATGTACCTCTTTTATTAAGGGAACGAAGAATGGCATAAACATAAAAGCTCGAAGGTCCGCGCGGATCTCTCGGATCGGCGCTGGACCACCCTCCCTGGCGCGCGGAGCGCGCCACGGGCGGCGCCGGAGGCGCCGCCAGGGGGCCCCAGCGCCGATCAGAGAAATCCGCGCGGACCTCCGAGTTTGTATGTTTATGTCATTGTTCGTTATGCAGTTTTTTTTTATGTTTGTGTCATTGTTCGTTATGCTCCTGTCTGGGTATGCACCACTCTGATGTTATGGCTCATTCCAGCACGCTACCTGTTTTTCATCATGGACGATTGCCACGGGCCTGCACCGCGAACTTGATCACCTGCCCGTAGACCACGTCGTCAGCCTCCACACCCTCGGCTGCAACCGCCTGCGCGGCATGCTGGCGCCAGCATCAGCCCCCGCTCTAATCCAGCCCAGCCAGCGCAGAACACCGAGAGCACTAGCTTCATAAGCAAAGGCACCGACAGATATACACATAAACGTTCGGAGGTCCGCGTGGATTCCTCGGGCTGGCGCTGGACTCTGGCGCGCGGAATGCGCCGTGGGCAGGAAGCCGGAGGTGCCGCCAGGCAGGTCCAGCACAGACCCCAAAAAGCCATGTGGACCTCCTCCGAAAATGTATGCCTGTGCAGGCCTGTCCAACTCGCCTCTCCGACGCCCCCCGCCTGCGCCCTCTCCCCCCCTCTGGCCGCACCCCACCTCCAGCCGGCCTCTCTTCCTCAGGCCGCATGCCTCCTTCTCCAGTCCGGATGCCGCAGGGCGGGCGGCGACAGGCGGCCTCGTACAGCTCACAGATGCGCTCCGGGAGCCTGCGACACAGGGGGGGGGGGGGCCAGACGTGGGGGCCACGGGGGAAGAGAGGGGAGGGGATGAGCCAGGGATCGAGCACGCTGGGGCGGCCAAGGACCGGCGAGAGAGGCGAGATGGGCAGCTCGAGCAGGCACGAGGTGGAGAGAAGTTGACGGGGCATCGCCGGGAGGCTGCGCGCTGGGGGTGCCGCTCCGCCCAACGGCCAGCATGCCATGGCCGAGCAGCAGCAGCTGCAGGAGCCGTGTCCATTTGCCCCCTGGAGTGGCCCACCGGCTTCGGCGCTGTGACCGCGGGCGCACAGCTGCCACCGGTGGCCTCCTGCTGCGCTCGAGGCGGCTGCTCCTGACCCGGTGCTCGTGCAAGGCGCACATGGCATCATCGCGAGCCGTGTGCGAGCAGGAGCTCGCCTCGGCCCCCCGGTACAGGAAGCGCCGCAACGCGGCGTTCCGATCAATGGAGGGAGGGGGAAAGCCCACTCCGGAGCAGCCACACAAGCTGACCACGGCATATGATTGTGAGGCACGTCCACACCAGAAGTCAGCTCCCACGATCAAGGCGCCTAAAGGATCTATGCGGTAGGGGTCCGTCCACAAGAAACCTTCTACAAGAAACCCAACCCTGAGACCCCAGGACGTCCATCGATTATTGGCGCGGGAACGTCACGCTTTCCATCGCAAAACTATCGAAACCCAGGAAACCCAGGGCACCCTGGAGGCAAGCAGGGTGTTTCTTGGCATGGGCCCCCACTGTATGCACCCAGGCGCTCGTTCGCCCGAAAGCAAGCCAAGGGTCGAGGGACACCTCGAGCCCAGACAGCTGGCGACGGGTCGGCGAAGGCAGTCTCCAGAGCCAGCCGCGCGCGTCGGCCCAAGAGGGCCCCGAGACGGCCCCAAGAGGCGCCCAAGACGGCCCAAGGGGCCCCCTGAGACGGCCGACAATGGGGACCCCGAACCGAAAACTCGAGCCTTCCGCCTAGGAGGCCCCGGGAGGGCCCCAAGAGGCCTGCGAGAGGCCCTAAGAGGCCCCCAAGAACGTCCCAGGAGGCCCCAGGAGGCCCCGCGAGGCTCCAGGAGACCCCATGAAGAAGGACGAGGAGGAGGAGGAGGAGGAGGAGG